ACATACTGGGAGCCAGTGTAATGTGGTCATATTTCTTTGTTCTGGTTAAAAGCCTGGCAGCTGAGTTCTGGACAGTCTGGGGTCGATCAATAGATTTTTGGGTTAAACAGGTGAAAAGGCTGTTGCAATAATCCAGGCGTGATGAGACGAAGGCGTGTAAAATGGTCTCGGTGTCCTTAAAAGTTAACATAGATCGAATTTTAGCTATATTTCTAAGTTGATAAAAACATGATTGAACAAGCTTTGTGGTGTGCTGCTCGAAATTTAAATTACTATCAAACCAAACACCAAGGTTCTTTGCCACAGGCTTAATGTGATTTACTAGGGAACCAGCAGATGGCAGTATTTGATTTGCCATCTGCTGAGACCCGATGACCAGGATTTCTGTTTTGTCTGAGTTCAGCTGGAGGAAATTATTTGACATCCATTTTTTAACTTCACAAAGGCAGTTGTTAAGTGAACTCAGCATTCCAGGGTCTGTGGATCTGACGGGCAAGTATATTTGTGTGTCATCAGCATAAATATGAAAAGAAATGCCATGTTTATGGATAATATGTCCAAGGGGAAGTAGATACAAGGAAAACAAAATGGGTCCTAAGACCGACCCCTGCGGCACACCATATTTAACTGGACAGAATGAGGAGACATAGTTGTTTACAGACACGCAAAACTTCCTATTTGACAGGTAGGATGAAAACCATTCTAGGGCAGTACCAGAGATCCCCACCCAGTGCCTCAGTCTGTCTAACATGATGTTGTGATCAATGGTGTCAAAAGCAGCGCTAAGGTCCAGGAGTACCAGGACTGAGCACATGCCTTCATCAGCAGACATTAAAAGGTCATTGGTGACTTTAAGCAGGGCAGTCTCAGTGCTGTGGTACTTCCTAAAACCAGACTGAAACTTTTCAAATATTTTGTTATTTTCCAGTACAGTGAGCAGCTGTTTGGACACAATTCTTTCTAGAATCTTTGCAATAAAAGGCAGTTTTGAAATTGGTCTAAAATTATGTGGGAGGGAGGGATCTAAACCAGGTTTCTTTAAAAGTGGGTTCACGCAAGCCGTTTTAAAATAATCAGGGACACAACCAGTAGATAGGGAGCTGTTGAAAACAGAGATCAAATGGGGCCCAACAGAATCTATTACTTTCAGTAAAAACTTTGTAGGTATTACATCAAGTGGGCTGGAGGACACTCTCATTTGTGATACTGTTTTTAAAAGCTCAGACAAGTCGATGGGATAAAACTGGTTAAAACTCTCTTGTTGCTGGTGAGGAACCTCTGAGTAAGAGGCAGTGGGGGTAACAGAGGCTCTGATTGACACCACCTTATTGGGAAAATAAGATAAAAACAATTCACAGTTATCATTACTTCCAGCTGAGGCACAAGGAGGGGTTGGGTTTACCAGCTGATCCACAGTCTTAAACAGAAACCTGGGATTGTGTTAATGTGTAGTAATGAGTTCAGAAAAATAGTGTGTTCTCGCATCCTTAACCATGTTATTGTAGTTAATTAATAAATCCTTCAGACTGAGGTAATGGACTTTGAGACTGGATTTTTTCCATCTGCGTTCTGCTTTCCTGCATTCCCTTTTGAGGCTGCGAATGCTGTCATTTATCCAGGGTTGCTTACTAGCTTTAGACGTAGGCCTAACCTTTAGAGGAGCAGTAATATTTAGTGACGACAAGCAGATATGATTGAAGTGATTGACCAGATTGTTGGTGTTGGAATCAGACAGGTGTTGGCTTTGGCTCTGAAAGAATGCGCAAAACTTTGAAACACTTTGTTCATTAAAGATGCGAGAACACACGGAGCTTGGTGAGGCGGCATGAGTTACAGGCGAATCGCAGCTAAAAACAATACATCTGTGGTCAGATATGGTGACCACAGATGTATTGTTTACTACCAAAGTTCCCGGGCTCAGAGGTGGATCAAATCTGACCAACCTTTCCGGCACCATACATTTCATACAGCGCAGCGCGACAGCATACAGGTGCAATAATCCCGGAAAACAAGACAGTGTGAAAGCGCCTTTTCTCAACAGCAAGGCAGTTTACAGGATCAAGATACACACAGGAGATGTTGATCGGCTGATTAAATATCAAAACACTTTGACTGGGTTCTGACTGGTGACTCAGCAGTGGCTGGGCAGAAATCAAAAAAGCTAAGTGTTATTGGCTTAATTAAAGGCCTAAGTTTCAGTCCAATATGCAGGGCTGGCTTCTTTTCCCCCCTCAACTATTGATGAGTCATTATTGGCAATATTGATCAGGTATTATTCAAGCCAGCAATCCACTTTAGTGCCTTCAACAGCCAGCATTCACACCACAATTTCTTAAGTAACTGCATTCTCATAAAATGCACTTAATGGAAAAATAAACAGCTGACTCCTAATAAGCTTTTTTAACATGAATGCATGCATGCATGAATGCAACCATAATTTACTAAATGAAAATTGTGCTGTACTGAAGAAGACTTGAAATAACAAATGAGATTATAAACTAATAAGGAAAGTGTTTATACTGCTATTAATTCATCTGAGAAGTAGGGTCATTTTGCCATTAAGTCTAATGCAATCAACTAGAGGAGTCGCCCCCTGCTGGCCATTAGAAATAATGCAGGTTTAAGGAACTTTCACATTGGCTTCACTTTTCAGACCCGGAGGTCTATATCCATCCATCCATCCATCGTCAACTGCTTATTCTGCGTACAGGGTCGCGGGGGGCTGGAGCCGATGCCAGCTGTAACCCCCCTGGAGAGGTCGCCAGTCCATCGCAGGCTTGGTCTATATACCCTACTTAAGTTAACTAAAATAAAGTAATAGTTTTTCACTCATTCCTTGTGTTAAGTCATGCAGACAGATCTTTAAAAGTCTCAGCAGATAAATCTGAAATAGACTGTGAGATTTAGGCCACAACCCAAATACAATGGAAGGGAATGGATCAAAGCATTAAAATCACATTAAATAAATTCAGCAGCAGCATATCTTTAAAAAAAAACAGTGCCCCTGTTATTTGGATAATCCACAGACCTTTCTTTTAAAAGTTTTAAACAAAAACAAATGTTCTATCCCAGAAATAGTTCAAATAAAAAACTGTAAGAAAGAAGATAAATATGTGTTGGGGTACAGTAAAACTGACCCTTTGAAAATGTTTGGTGTATATCTGACTCAACTAGGATAGGACCACTGGGAGAGAGAGGGTTGCGTTCTTGCTAAGTGTTGCAGAGCAGATGAGTGACACTGGATGGCCAGCTGTTTTTTTATTTTATTTTTTTTTACCATTTATCACTAGAGGCTGGTCAGATCTGGGCCAGGCCACTGGAGCCCCCTCCATCACACAACATGACCATTTCTGATCCTTGAAGAGTCAGTTCACCCAAATTACAACTCCCCTCATGCCATGCAGATAGTTTTATTTGCTACTGTTTTAACCATCTTGACTCTTGACTTTTTTGCAGGTTTTTTGTTTTGATAAAAACTAGTTCCATTGAAAACGGTTCCCAGTGTAGGTCTGTGTATTAACCAAGACTAACAGGAGCTTTATTTCTTCAGTCTTGCTGTTGATTTTTTAGAGCTAAAATAAAAAGTACATTAATGAGTCAGTTGATCGACAGATAATTAGGTCATTTTCAAGCAAAAATGCCAAACCCCAGTTTCAGCTTCTAGATTTACAGGGTTTTTGTATTTTGGACTGTTTGCTGGACAAAAAAGCTATTTGAATATTCTGTGTTTTCGTTTTGTCACCAAACAATAAATTGGTTAATCAAAAAATCATCAAAATAATCAACAATTATTTAACTCCTATTTATCTTTTACATTTAACATTTCCATGATATTAGCACAAATGTAATCCCATTCACCTTCATTGTGACAGAGCGGAGGAAGAAACCTCACACAGACAAATTTTATCAGATGAGGCGAAAACTAGTGAGAATACGTTTTTCCTACATTGTGTGAACTGGCCCTGCACAAGTTAAAGCCATATAATGTTGACATACAGTGCAACATTTAGATTCATATGTCCTTTAAAAAATGCAGTAACAAAGGATCGAGCAGCCTCTTAAAACTGGACTCAAAAATACAAGAGACCTCTGGGAAATAAACCTTTGGCAGCTCGGAGCTGCTGTAGCTGTTGTAAATATTATGACAGTGATTTTCTTCCACTCAATGTGAATGATATCCAACCCATCTCATTGTGCTGCTGCCAACTTTTACCACTGAATTTAAATCTAGCAGTATTTCCGTTTTACTTTGTTAATAAAGCCCAGCCGTATTCTCCTCGCTCCAACTCATTTTGGGGGACGCCACAGCAATAAATCATTGGGCGGTTTGAAAATTAGACCCCATTAAAGTTTAATAGTAGTGGGCAAAGTGAACACCCAGATGGTGAGCTTAGCTCCTGTTTTTTAACATCCATCTCAGCAGATATCCATGAGCATGCACAGGCTTCGGTGCCAAATAGTTTAGGTAGCTGTATGTGATGAAGTGGATAAAAAGCCCTGTTAATTGAACTGGATCAATGGGAACTCCTTGGTCTCTTGGCAGATCCAAGAAGGGGTTTCCTAAACTTGAATCTTTGTAAACAAATTCAGTATACTGACTCCTATTTGCTTACAGTGATTGCACTTTCAGGAATCTCGGATTGGGTGGGCAACACTCTGGGCAAGGCGGAATGAAAGCTATCATCAACATTCAGTAACATAACAACAAAATCAAACTATTCTTATTTTTCCAGTGGTACGCCTGCTTTGGACACCTGCCTGAGGGGCCCTTGAGTGTCCCTGCAACATTTTAGGAAGCCACTGGGGGTCCAAAAAGTGCCTGATGAGATGTCGGATGTTGGGACATAGAGGAAGAGCACACATAAATGGATTGATAGGCTACTAGTCAAGGTGGCTGGGAAGGGTGGGTGGCTGGAGGTAATGGAGGGGAGAGGAGGGCGGGGAAGGCTAAATGAATAATGAGGATGTGGGGGACTGATGAGACGTGAAGTGCTGCGTACCTCCTTCTCCACATGCTGCTGCCGCTGAGGCTGCCGACTGGGCTGCGGTCGGTTGACGGAGTGCGTGAACCCCGGCGCCTTTACCCGCCGTCACCGCCGCCTTGGATTGGAAACAATTATCTGTACTTTAGTGCTTCTCCTCTTCCAGCGCCTTCTCCTCTAATCACACTGACACCTTGCATGTGTTACGTCCTTCCTCGCCCTCATCCCCACAGGCTCAACAAACCTGCAGGTTTTTGGTTCTCCGCCTGCAGCGACTCCTCCTCTCCTCGCTCTCCTGCTCCTTGTGTCCGTTATACACTGCAGCTTCCCTCTACCTCACTACTTATTAAATACGTTTGCTTTCACTCGCCGCTTCACCGCTGTTTTTACAAGATCTTATCCTACTTCATCTCCCTCTTCAGAGCTTTTATTTCATGTAAAAAAAAAAAATACAAGTGAAAACACCACAGCATCCACACACGTTTATCCAGAGCTCTATCCGCTAAAAGGAAGGAAGAGTAGCGGCTGCAGAGCAGCAGGCGTGCGGCTGGTCCTTCACGAAGCTCGGCAGGCTGATGTACAGGATCAGCGCAGTGAAAGCGATGGAGAAAAACAGAATTTAAAAAATCCTCTCACACCTCTGAGTCCATTCACTGCCAAAACATGTTCCCCGAGTGCAGAAGGAATAACAAAAAAAACTAGTAGTCTACCTTCACCTCCCCGCTTCGGTTTGGCAGGCAGCTCCTTCTTGTTTTCCTTCTCCTGGATTCTTCCTCCGCTCCGTCTTGGACCGAGCCTTGTCGGATTACCCAGCCGGACAAGGCAGCTGCTGGCCCGGGCAGGCTGGCTGTCAGACACCGCTACATTGACGGAACTCTACCACGTCACTGCATTATTAGCGGAGCATCTCACGTGACCCAGTTAGACGTTCATGTTGCATTCATGGGATGTGGGTGAAACTACCCCTTCCCCAACACACACACAAACACACACAAACACACACACACACACAAATTCACACAAACACGCTCAAGTTCAGAATGTTATCCAACACATACCGTTATAATTAAAACTTTATAAAGGTACAGTACTTGCTATTACTGGTATTTTATTCCTTTGCCAAGCTATTATTATTCGAACATTTGATTAAAGTTTGAGATCTACACTATTATACCCTATTAAGGCAGTTGTTGTGTTCAACACACCCATCAGCATTGATTTGGATGCAGCAATGAAAAAGTTACTTTAAACTTTAGTTTACTTTAGATAGTACAAATACATGGTCATATACACTTTGAAGATAGGCATAAAACATTACATTATTTTAGTTTTACATATTTTTACATTACATTGGGAATGTCTCAAATATTAAACTTACATTCATAAAACCATTAGCTTGCTTGAAAACATTATGTTCTTGCTTATTTAAATTGTGTGCAGTTTGGGTAAGGCTTGTTTGTGTTTCAACATGATGACAATGCGCCTGTGCACAAAGCCAGATTAATAAAGAAATGGTTTCCCAGTTTAGTGTGGAACTTGCATCCAACAACTTTGGGATATACTGGAACCTTATTGCCCGACCTTACTGCCCGACCTCACTAATGCTCTTGTGGCTTAAGGGAGCAAATCCCTGTAGCCAGTTTCCAAAATTCAGATTCAAAGCCTTCCTGGAAGAGTATAAACTGTTATTGCAGCAGATTAAAGCCCATGGTTTTGGAAGATATAGATGTGATTTTTGAGTGTCTACCTACATTTGGCCACTTGCTAAAATGCCTGAACTGATTACAAATAAATGATTGTTAACTGTCACATTAAGTAACATTTAGATAAAAGGAAGGAAGAGGAAGCGTATATAAAGCAACCTGCCAAAGATGTGATGACAATTTGTTTACAGTTACAGTAGATCATATGATCCCAAACAATGTCAGATGGTGACTTCAGTAGGATAGTGCAGCTATGAGGGACCATTCTAGAAAAAAAGGAGGAAATACACATTTGCTAACAGTGCTTTCCGCCTGAAAGCTACAATGGGTGGTATTTTCAAGTAGAAATATCTTTCCTCCCACTTTTCCCACATTCACCTGAATGCAGCATCAGTCCCTCCTTTCCCTCCTCTTCCCCTCCTCCAAAATCAACCACCCTGCTCCCTCCCTGTGGTTGGAAAAAAAGGGGATTTAACTCTGTAAAAGCATGGTGGCCAGTGGTCTGGTAACAGCTGGATTTGCCACCATTGTGCTCTTTGTTTAACGGTGCCTCTAACATTTCTCATTAGACAATACCCTTTTAAAACACATCTTTTGCCCTTTGTGTTACATTAGTGATGCATCGTTATGCACACACGATTACCAACTATATTTAGCATGCTTTTACGTCCAGACTGACAAGAAAAAGAGAACACATGCTTGAGGTTGTTGACAGCACTGACTCTCTCCCTCCACCACAGCATGATGATGAAACCCTACCTGCCTCATTAATGACTTGAACACAATGCAAACGCTTCAGCCTTCAGTCATGTTTACACTCATGCACCTCCAGAGGCCAGCGTGTTTCTTGATCGCCGATGAAAGCAGCTTGTCTCTTTCCCTCTCTCAGTAGAAGCAGAGCAGATGGAATTATGGCTCATGCAAAAGCAGCCCACCACTTCAGGGACAGTAAGCCATTGGGAGAGCGGCTTCTTGCAGAACAGTAAATATTGTAAAGTAGCACCACAGCATAGGAGCACAGGTGACTGAATAATTAATAGGAGCTATGTCTTTGACAGATATACTTCGGAGGCCATTAGCTCAGCTACCTGGCAGATGAGAGCATATTTGTCAAAAGAAAGTAATGCCGGGGTGGTGATTGATTTTCCGTGGCTGCCAGGTTAGAGGGAGCGCGCCTCTGTACATTAATATCATGTGGCATCTATTAGATAGGTGACTTCCTCAACTCGTCTAACCCGGCTGCCTCGGCAAAGACCGGCATATCAAAATTTTAATTGTCATCATTAATTGCTGGTGCTTGGGGAGTATCTTGGAACACCACGTCGCCCTCTCCTGCTGTAAGTCAGAAACCCAGTCTGCACACAGACACATATACACAGATGTCCCCATGTACAGTACTCAAATGCACATGCACATAATCCCATTCTTTATTACTTTCCCCTTAATTCTTGTGATGACTCTGTAGACATTTTTTTATAAACTGGATTGCAGCTCCTGTAAAGTGATCTCCTTTTATCTCAGAAAGTTTACACACCCATGCCTTGAAGTGCAAAGGCAATAAAAGAATGTGTGCTCTTTGGCATGAATTGAGGTGCTATACACAAAACATGACTGCAGTGGAAACGCAAATAAAGACAGAGACACATTCCTGTTTTTTGGTTTTGTTTCAAACACACTTCCAAAAAGTATAAAAGTACAGCCCAGTTTCTTTTATATGCAAAGCAATACGTTCAAACATAAATGGTCCAACATTTGCATAGCAACCTGGAAACCTTTTCACATTTGAATAATTTCTAATTTCTATGCTTTCAGTCATGGTCAATTCACCAAAATGGAAAGTTCTGAAAAGAAATGCTAACTGAAGAGGCTAATAATGCAGTTATATCTTCCAATTCACATTGTGAGTTTACCCATTTGATAAGTCAATTGTTTTTTTGTTACAATTCTTTCTAAAGCACATTTACCTCAGGTTGTTCTGTACTTTACGTTCTCTTTTTGCTGGAGGAAGGAAATGTTGGTTATCTCAACGATACGCCTTTTAAGAAATGCAGTCCCAGATGAAATGCAAGCTGTTATTGCTTCTCTTAAAGAGTGCAGCTGCAATATCCTGTGGCAGAGCATCAAGTGCACGCAGGGATGTCTCTGTGAATATCTTTTCCTTCAGTCAGACTCAGGCCCTTGTTCAAAGAACAAAAATCTGAGGTCAGTTCTGTCACAGGATGGGAATCTTACAGACCATTAAGCATTATTCACTTAATTTCATATTATCTTGGAAACTAATCATAGAGGAAAATTACACAGGTAACCTTTATCATTCAAATAACAGCAAAAAATGGATTTTGCGTTGTGTGTGCATGTTCTGATAAGTTAAAAAATAATGTGCGTAAGACACGTTGTGTGACAGATGCAGGAGAAATGATATAAATGCCTCAAATGTCATGAGAGATGCATTCAATCACATTAATGATAAAGTGAAATTGTAATGTATGTCAGATCCAAATACATTATCCTGAGCATATCCAATCAGTAAATGCATGCGATTCACACAGTTGGCAGCCAGTTTGAATAGTAACATGCCTGTCAAAATAGATTGTCTGGAGTCTCGCAGATGGGAAACAAGCGCGTGGTGTTTATTGTCAATATATAGAGACAGAAAAATGAGAGCTTTCATACATGCATGTGTTTGTTCACAGGAAAGAGAATATACAGGCAATACATTTTAATTCCATGTGTAAATCGATTTCAACCATATCTAGACTTGTCTGGGCACAACATAGGTTTAACCCTGGCTAAAATAAGCCAGAGCTGTAGGTTCATCCTTTTAAGAAGGGATCTCATCATTAACAGTCTTTACAATCAAATATCAAGAACCATACCATGACATGAACAATAGCCCTAGTAAGCAATTTACCCAGAAAGTAGTTCAAATTAAATAAAAGAAAAAAACAGGACTACGTCTTGTGAACTGGTCTGAAAAAGCATTTAAATGTGGTCTGCTATAATTTGAACTCAACATAGGTGCTCACACTATCCCCTGTTGTAAGTAAGCACACAATAAAAGAATAAAACCAAATATAACTTTGATCAGCTATAATTCACTATTCAAGGCTGAATATGACATCAGAACATATCTCATATGTGATAACATAATGCATTTGCCATATAAATACATGCTGATCTGGCTCTTACAAATGGATAACAATGGAATCCATTCAGATGCTTCACATTATACTGTGTGCTATACAATTATCCAATTAGTTAGGTATTAATATGCTTTAAAGAGATGTAGCGTGTAGGAGGAAGGCAGGAAGGCGGAGTAGTTAGAGAGGCTGTCTGTCTACCACACAACTCAGCTTCAAGGCTATGTGTGGGCCACCAGACACCTGGATGAAATGTCCTCTGCCAAGAGACTGTGTACATACCAGCTGCTGTAAGACGACCTCTGACCTCCCTGTGAAAGAGTAGATAAAACTGTAAAAATATCATTATCATCTGCAACCATGAGAACGCTCTTAATAAACACCATTTATTTCTGTGAATGTGATCACTGTAGATTGTACCATGCTGCACAGTGTGTGGGTGAAAATCATTAACGTTAGTTGCGCATTGATTTTATTGATCACGTGAAAGTTTAGTAGCGGCAGTCACTCATTCAATAGCTGCCTATCTGTGCTGAACAGGGAGAACCACGTCTCCGTTGTGTGCACCGCACAGACGGTCCGAAGCTGCACTTCCACATTTCCGAGTTCTGCTTTTTTCGTTCCGTCAACATTACGTTATCAATTAACCTCTAGATAATCGATTATTGACATTATTGATCGATTCATAATTGTCCGAGTCCTCATCGCGATGCATCTAAAAATCTAGAATTTTCCATACCCTTATTATTTAAAGTGTTTTCGATTAAAGCTCTTACTGTAGCACATCCCTCCAAAACATGGTCTGACACTTGAACTGATGATTTTAGATTAATTGGAAATCCCAAAACCAAGTAAGAGCTGGTTTTCCCAGCCAACACCTTGGTGGCACATTTCCTCCCAGTGAGAACATATGTTGCAAGGAAGCCAAGGGGATCAAATATGGAGGCCACAGTAGACAATATGCCTCTACGTGTCACTGGTTGGTCTTTCAAAGTGTTGTTAAATCTGAAGCTATCTGCCTCAATGCTC